CATGAGTGGAAGTTGTTGAAGGATGCCGAACAAGGCTTTAAGGGAGTCATGGGCTTGGACCACGACCGTCCACTTGTGAAATGCTTGGATTCTATTCCACCTGGCAACCAATGCCTTTGTTTGTTCTTTCATACAAATTCGGGTGGGCTAACCTTAGGTGCGGGTAAATTCTTTGTGTACCTTTCGTCAGATTTTTGTTTTACTTTTTGTTATCAAATGTGTGCTTTGTTACAACATTCATGAGGGCTAATTCAATTCTAACAAGATTACGAGTTTTTGAGCTTTGCTTTAATATCGTAATGTTTGTTACTACATAACTTTCAAACAATCTTTTGTGAAGTTGTATGATTTTCATACCATAGGTTGAGGGAATTATGCAGAGATTGTTAACCTCTTAAAATTTGTAATTTGGTTTGTTCTGTTTAGAAATGAGGATTGGCTTTAGTCATGGTAGAATTGATGGTGAGTATGAGTTGCACCTTCATGTCGATCCTCTAGTGTCAGTGGATGCTCTTAAAGAACAAGTGGCAGATGCTTTGAAAACGGCCATCTTTATCTTCAGGGTGATATCAGACAGAATAAATTTTGTAAAAATGGAAGGAGCATCTATACGGAGGGATCTGCAGAAATTGATTTATCATTTCAAAGATGAAAAGGAAACCACTGTGAATATCACGGGTGTACGTCATAGCGTGTAACTATTGAATGTTCAGCAAGTGGAGCAGGCTTTTTTCATTGTCAAGGACATAATTGTTTTTACCCTAGCAAGCAGTAATGCGCTGATGGAGTACATTGCACAACAGGGGGATAAGGTTGACATGCAGGTATCAAAAGTTGATCCGGATAGTTCAAAAGTGATTTTTTACCAAAGAAATTACAAAATTCTTGGAAGCAGAGGTCTCAAAGCTAAGTATGACTTTGTTCTCTCTAAGGGCCGATTTACACGGTACGACTTTGTCGCATGCGACAAGCTTACGACAGGCCTACCACATGAACTGTTTCGTGTAAATCAAACCTACAACTCGCTTGCGACTGTTGTGTACGTCAAAAAAAAAAAAATGTCGTAGGATTTTAAAAAATGTTTTAAAACGCTGCGACAATCGTAGCCGAAGTCGATTGAAAATGAAGCATTTTGTGCTAAATTTCTACTGAGTACGGGACGAGGTGAAGTTTTGTTGCGTCAAAATGGCGGACGAACTTGTTGTCTGATTCATATGAAGACGTTTCTCGAAAAGTACTGAACGGATTAATGCGAAAAACTTCTCTTTAGAAAGTTTTTTCAAAGCGCGGGACAGCTAAAATATTTTTTTACTGTTTGTTCGAACTTTCGCTCCGAAAAGCCAGGTGCAAACTTTTGCATATTTAATTTTGTAAGTGAAAATGTCGAGCGCGAGTAAATGGTCCTAAGTCATGTCGTAGGCCTGTCGCAAGTTTGTCATATGTGACAAAGTCCTACCCTGTGATACACACTTCTTGTTTCTTTTGTTTTGGTAATAAGTGTGTACAGGTAACTTTTTTCCTCTTATCAGCAAACAAGGTGGCTGGTCCATCACAAATTTGCTGTAGTTTAAGGGTGTAAGAAAGTGTCAAAGTACAACACAGTAAATTTTTGTGTTTTTGTTGCAATACATTGTTAACTCTTCCTTTCCATTTTTCTAAAATTTTGGCTACGTTTTTAAACAGCAAATAAAGTGTACAAGTTAATAGAAGCTTAATAACGTTAGTTTTTCAGCTAGAGTTAGAAACTTTCTGAAGAGGTGACCTTCACATAATAAATATATTTTTGCTTTCTAACGCCAAGGTTTTAAAAATTATACCTAAGGCGGCTTAGGTCTAAAACTCTACAATTTAAAAGAGGCCCATGACAAGAAAAATTGGGGAGGCGCGGTGGCCTCATGGTCAGTGCGCTCGAATCGGGATCGAAAGGTCCAGGGTGATATTGTTTTGTGTTCTGGGCAAGATCCCACAGTCCTTTCTCCACCCAGGTGTACAAATGGGTACCGGCGAATTTAATGCTGGGGTAACCCTGCAATGGACTAGCATCCCATCCAGGGGGGAGTAGAAATACTGCTGTGGTCGCTTCATGCTACAGAAACAGGGATAAGCACCAGTCTGATGGGCCACTTGGCTCGTATGCAGACTTCACCTTTACCATGCCCAAGACTATTGTGGTGGATCGCCATTGAAAGTTTTCAAAACATGAATTTTGATACACAGAAAACATTGGTCGGATGCATTGGTCGCTTCAGATACTAGCCCGGCAAATCGGGCTGCTCATCTCGTCCCTATTTTTTTCGTCATAGTTTCTATATGTTCATATGAGAAGAGAGTAATAGAGATCTCGGTTTTTGCGACCTCGATCTGGAACATTTTCAGCCCGGAACTGAAGAGGCCTTCACTCTCTCACTGAAGAAGGCGCCCCTTCCTCATGGCATCACTTTGTCTTATCTCACGTTGGTCTTCATAGAATTAGTAGTCTTTTGTCTGCCGCAGTTAAGTTACACAAGTTGGCCAAGCTAAGACAGACATAGAAGATAGAATTTTATGTGGCGCCTCCTTGGTTTTCTGTTTTGCATTTCGCGGTAACTGGGCTGAAAATTTCCATGCGTTTAGATTACAAGCTTCGTCACTTTACGGGCCAGCCCGGCCGGTTTCCCGAGCTCATATGAACGGGCCAAGTCGTTCTCAAGGTTACCTTATTAGAAGTAACATACGACTCATATTAATTGGTTCAAGTCAAGCCGTACGCACATTCAAGTGTTCGCATCATGGGCAGATGGACCTAAGCAGTAGTTACAGTGAAAAGGTCCGGACGGCTGGCCTTCAAAGAATGCATAGACCGTTTTCACTATAACGTCACATGCGCAAAGGTTTCTTGTAGTAGAAGTAAAGAGTTTGCAAAGACTTCCGGTCGCTGTAGTAGAGATCGCAGCAGATTTTTATTAAGGGTGCGTTCCTTTCGGGTGATCTGGATCAGGATCAGTGATCCAAGATCTGTCTGGATCATGGCGCATCAAAAGAACCGGTAAATCCATGGTCAGGTTGGAGTCATCGGTTCCTTTGATGCACCATGATCCAGACAGATTTTGGATCACTGATCCTGATCCAGATTATTCCATAAGGAACGCACCCTAAAGCTACCAGAAGTGTATACGAACTTCTCTACAATTACTGTCTATTCTGGAGTGTAGTGTAGCTAGGTATTCACGTAAGTTTGATAAGCGTCTTAGTTGAAGATTTAATTTAATATCGCGTTGATGGACGTGTTAGAGCTTTTAGTGAGCATGAAGTAACATTTTACAGTTATTTCGAAATTAGCACTTCGTTTTAGGAGCTACAAAAACCGTTGATAATTATGGAGGTTTGCTAGTGCAAGGGCTCAGAATATCTCCGTTCGTGTTTAATGTAAATACGAGATTTTTTTTTACACTTGGCAATCAGAAATGAAATGCCTGAACTTCATTTAGGTAATCGGTCCTACATCCCTCTAGGTCCTCGCTGTCAGTAGCGGACCAAGTATTACCCCTTCTATTTATGGCCCAAGCATAATGTGCGCGGGCGATCAATCGAAGGACAGGCGTACTGTGACGTCATCATTGAACAAGGAGACGGCAAACCGTGTATAAGATAAATAAACCAAATGCATCTTTAATTTCACAATAAAATACAAAGCATGAAACGATTTTAAAATTATTGCTTAAGTAACATATATACTTTACATATTAAGGGCCGATTAATTAAAATGAGTCTAGGTGGAAAAAAACAAAACAAAACAAAACAAAACAAAAGCAAGTTAGACCGGTTCCTGAGTACGTTTATTAAACGTCATTTAACCGTTAACGTCTATTGGGATCAAAGGGAACTTAACTTTTGTCCTTATGCCCCTCCACAATCTCAGAGCTGTTTGATGGTGATACTTGAACCCCCATTTCGTATTCCGTTAAATATATCGTTGAGTTCAGTTTATGAAAAAATTCCACACAGTTCTGTACAACGTTGTGAAAGGAACCTTTTCTTTAAGAGAAAACAATAGCCCGAGAAAAGTGTTCTCCTGGTCGAAGAACATGCATCAGTGATGTCAAAACAACAATAAAGGCATTTATAGAACGACATTTAAAACGCGTTCTTCGCGAATTCGGTCTCTTTCGCGCTCAGTTGACGAAATTTAAATTCCGCATAGCCCGGTCTAACCACGGTTTAAACTTAACCAGGTTTAATTTTAGCTTTGTTCAAATAAACGGCCCGTATTTATAAGCCATGTTTAGTCGTTTTGCATATCACGCTCTTCGTCTTTATCCAAGCCGTGAATTTCTTCTGCATCTCGGCACGGCGGCACTCCAATTTCCGTTATTGCATATTATTTTACTTGCGCCGACCAACCGGAAATTCTTGTCGCAATAGAATCGAACGGTTCTGTTATGTCTGAAGTCACTTGCACTTCGTCGGCCATTTTTGGGCGCTCCTGGGTTCGTGCAGGGAGCTAGAAATTAAAACGCAGCGAATTAACAAGGTTGTTGGATAACTCGTGGTCGGTTACCGCTAAAGAGTATTGGGCGCTTCAACGGCATTTGCTGTTAGTGCTATCGGACTAACCCAATAAAATACAAGCTCGAAGCTTTCCAGCTAAATACCTAAATTGTAGACATATTTGGGTTTAAAGGCCCTGAGAACTCATAAGACCTCCCTGGTTTGACTTAAACTAAACCCAGACACACGAACGGGGCGAAGACAAATATATGATGAGCTTATGGACATGATGAAAAAGGTATTCCTTATACGATAACTAACCATAACTTAAACTTTCGTGGAGGTCAGCAAGGCAGCCGAAACATAACTATCGTGAGAAAAATTTTTCAAAGCTAGAGAAGCCGACAAAACGAACAACAAAAGTAAGTACAAAGAAGGATATGTGTGGGCCTAACTTGACTATTTCACAGCCATGAGTGATTATTATAGTAACACAAGACAAACTAAAATCAACAGTTAAGTAATGGACAAATGAGCTTCTCAATAAAGGTATCTATCAATAAAATAGCTAGCATACGGAGCCTACAGCTGTTAGGCTACCTCATCATCTCCCACGTCACTTAATGTTTTGCATCGTAAAAACAAACAAACAAACAAACAAACAAACAAACAAACAAACAAACAGAATGTCAAATAATCTTCCCATAATCTTTTGACCTCCAGCGGTGCAGCTTTGAATTACATTATACTAAAAACGACTAGTTCTAATATTGCTAACAACTTCACCGCAACATTGCAAATGGAAAAATGTTATGACTACAATCAAGTTATCTGTCACTGACCTAGGCATCTAGGTTTAGGTTTTGTCCAGTTTCCATCTCTTGAGCAATAGATTCTAGGTGCGCCGTCCATTCTGTACTTTCTGTCACATTTGTATACCACATGGCCGGAGTAGTAGAAACCGCGATGAACCGTTCTGATGCCATTTTTCGGAGTTCCTGGATCACCGCAATTGATCACTACAAAACAAATCAAGGCCGAGACGGCCATTAGAACGGTTTTCAGTTGACTGTCGTAAAACCCAAACCAAACTTATCACTCTAGGAGTCACAAAGACAAAGAAATCAACGAACCAATCAAAACACAAAGAAATTACATGTAGCTGACGGAAAGAGCGGGAAAACGAGTGGGAGCGAGTAACAATGGGTTTTACTTTTGATTGGAGGAATTAGTGGCGCCAACTATACTGACTTCAGCACGGAAACAAATGTTTTGGAAACCTAAGTGAAGGTTCTTTGCGGTGTGAAAAGTAAGAAAAGCAATAAATTTGCCAACTTTAAAACATACATTGACAAATTGGCTGTGTGCCACTCCACTGTCCACTTCGAAGACATTTTCGTGTTGAGTCTCCCGCCAATTTAAATTGTAGTCCAATGCATCGGAACTTTACTTCGCCGTTAAGGAACGTTGAGGTCTCTATGATCTTCTCGCCATTAATAGGAGCAGCGATTGGACCGCAGTTTACCGCTAAATAAGACAAAATAGAAATAACGATTTGTGAATGAACAAATATACGAGCGGTGTGGTCCGTCTGCGTTAAGATTTCGGTACCGCTGCGATACAACTGCGGTAAAACCACGATAAAATTGCGGAAATACTGCGAAACAGTTGGAACAGCGGCAATTTGTATGTGACAACTATCGTTTGGCTCCTTGTGTAAGGTCCCAATGCTTTAAACTGAGAAATTTGGCTATTTGAAAATTATTTATCCATTGCCTGTCTATTTCTCTGTCAAACCGAAATCAGAAGAACGCCATCCGATTTTGTTGTCTGGTGGTCTGAATACTAATGTCTTATGCGTCCCATAAGGCTATAAGGACTGATTCTGTTCTTGATGATGATGATAACGAGGACGACGACGATGAAGATGATGATGGTGATGATGAGTCTGATGATTGCTACGTAAAAATAAAAAAAAATAAAAAAAATAAAAAAAAAATAAAAAAAATCGATTTTCACAGGCGTTTAAATTTGCCGTCATTTTGGCCCACCATCTGACTAGATCTTCTTTCACTTCTTCTCCGCAACCTTTGTTAACTTGATTTATTAAAATGAGTGAACCAAACCTACTTGTACACTGAGGTGATGTTCCACTCCACGTTTGGTTGGCTTGACAAACCCTTTGCTTGGATCCAACCAAAGTATAACCTTTATCACATGTATACTCCACTGTGCTTCCGTAAGTAAACACATAGCTGTTTATATTGCCGTTTACAGGAGTTCCCGGATGGCCACAGTTTCTTGCTGCAACGTAGTGATAAAAAACAGGGGAATGTTGTCTTAGACTGTCCTATCAAAACGTTGTGGCCATGTAACAGAATTTAACGATCTCAGAGTTAACGCCATCATGATATCACACCGTATTCCTATACAATAATTTGACTTATCCCCTAAAGAAAGAAATTAAGAGCGAAAAATGGTACGAAAACAAGAATAACTAATAAGTCTGCAGTTACTACATGTATCTTTTACGAGAAGCAAACAGTTAACTTGAACACAATTTTCATCTTTTGTTAGAAAGCTGTTCTGTCCAGGAGAACAGCTAAGCTGAACTGTCGAACACCATTGTTGTCAGCTAATTGGCATTAGGAACCCATTCTAGCACAGTCTAAATCATTTGCATATTTATTAACGCAATTAATTCCGGGAAGGACACTGCACGTTCTAACGTACAACACATTTTCGTTTCTTTTTTCTGGGGAATATCTTCTTGTCTTGTTTCTGTCATGTGACACGTTTATGCCAAACGCACTCACAAATACTGGAGAGGTTATCGATATCATTGGTCACAAACTATAGCTA